CTCAGGCAATCCACTCACCTCAGCTTCCCAAAGGCACGGGATTACAGGCTGAGCCACCAAGCCCAGCTTTCAAAGATCTTCTAAGAAGGTAGTTCAACAGTGAAAATTTTGACCTTATATCACCGCAGAAGTTAGACATAGATAATTTTGAAATAAATATAAATGCAAATTTTTGTAGTGTACTTTAAAAAAACCAGTCCTTTTATAAACTTGAGAACCTACACTTCAGACTGCATATTTATTATGTTAGAACATTTTTTGGGTATAGAAAAACATAATGTATAGGGCTAGTCATTAAAAGAACACAAAAACTGCCAGGCTTGGTGGCTCAGCCTGTAATCCCAACACTTTGGGAGGCCGAGGCGAGTGGATTGCCTGAGCCCACAGGTTTGAGACCAGCCCGGGCAACTTGGCGAGTCCTCATCTCTACAGTAAATCAAAGATTAGCCTTATGTGGTTGCGCTCACCTGTAGTTCCAGCTGCTTGGAAGGCTGGGGCAGAAGCATTGCTGGAACCCAGCAGGTCAATGCTTGGGTGGCTGTGAGTGTGCCGCTGCACTCCAGCCTGGGCGCCAGAGTGAGACTCCAACTCAAAAGAACACAAAAACTGAAATCAAGTTTTCAGTGGTCTGCTGTTGTCTTAAAGATGTAACTTAAATTTCTATACTAACATTCATTTCACCTTGGTATTTCTGATTTTTGAAATTTGGTTCTGTTGATAATAAGATTTGATCTTTTTAAAAAATTATTTTCTTAAGGAATTATATATTAATACATATGGCTCATGTTTGGGTGTAACTTTCCTAACAACCCCCCCCGCCCCTCACCATTATCTTGTTTTTTCCTGATTCCCATTCCTTTTCCCATAGGTAACCACTGTTAGCCTTGGCAGAGGATAGTATTGATGTACAAAGTTTAGTTCTAAGGAAAGAATTGGAGACAAAAGGCAAGAGACTGGATTTTAGTCTCAATTTAATTACAGTACAAAGAAGAGTTAATTTGCTTCTGCTCAAGACACGTGTATCTCACTTTTCTCATCTACAAAATGAGTAGATTAGACCAGTTAATCATTCTGTTACCTTCCAACTTGAAAAATAATTTTTTTTCATTCTCAGATGTGGCCTTGAACGTTCTCCTGTGAGCTAGAGGTCAAATTGTTTTTTCATTTTGTTTTATTTTCTCTAAGAAATTCCCAAGTGATCGGGCTCGGTGGCTCAGCCTGTAATCCCAGCACCTTGGGAGGCCGAGGTGAGAGGATTTCGTGAGCCTGCAGGTTTGAGACCAGCCCAGGCAACTTGGCGAGACTTCATCTCTACAATAAATAAATAAATAAATAATTAGCCAGGCACAGTAGCACTCACCTGTAGTTCTGGCTGCTTGGAAGGCTGTGGTGACAGAGTGAGACTCCAACTTAAAAAAAAAAAAGATAATCCTGCACCTTTGGGAGGCTGAGGTGAGTGAATTGCCTGAGCCTGCGGGTTCGAGACCCACCTGGGCAACTTGGAGAGACCTCATCTCTACAATAAATCAAAAAATTAGCCGGGTGTGGTAGCACTCGTCTGTAGTTCCAGCTACTTGGAAGGCTGAGGCAGAAGGATCGCCAGAGCCCAGCAGGTTGAGGCTGCGGTGGCTGGGAGCGTGCCACTGCCCTCCAGCCTGGGCAACAGTGAGACTCCAACTCAAAAAAAAAGAAATTCCCAAGTGACAAGTGATTGCAAAGGCAGAAGGATTTTGCATTTCTCTGTAAATAATGTATAAAATTTGTGAACTGATCTATTTCATTCTAAGGCCAGGTCAACTTACTAAAATATAAAACTGATACCTTTTAAAATAGGTCAGATCTTTATATTTTTACTAGATTTAACATGAATTGCTTTAAAAAAGATTAACTTTATCTGAGTAAATTGCAAATAGAGAAACTTCATTAACAGTCAGCCCTTCTTCCTGTTCAATTTCATTATAAGTTTTGTTTATGGCAAATAGCTGACAAGTAAGCGTTAATCTTAATTTTGGCTCCATTATATCAAGTTTGAATTTTCTCCAAATAATCTTATTTATTTGGCAGATTCTGATAGAAGAACTAGTGCCATTTTAAAACTCATTATATTTTCATTAGAATATTAATAAAACATTTGCCAAAATACAGTCTTTTTGGTAAAATTATCTGCACTCTCATCCCAGCTTTCTGATATTCAAAAGTCTCAATCACATTTTATGAAGAATGTTAAAGAAAATTACTTGTAGTTTTTTTTTTTACAATATTTTAAAATTTTATTTACACTTTCTCAAAATAATAGGATTTTATAAACTGGAGTAGCAACATTTTAATTTCATGATCTAGATTTTACTCCAGAATAGCATATTAACTCGTACATATCGAAATCTGAAATCTGAGTTATTTGATACAAATTCTACTTTATCCAACCATTAGTTATCTTTTCTTTTCCCTTTGATTTATTGTAGAGATGAGATCTCACCAAGTTGCCCAGGCTGGTCTCGAACTCCTGAGCTTTAGGCAGTCCTCTCACCTTGGCCTCCCAAAGTGCTGGGATTACAGGCTGAGCCACCATGCCCACCCTCAGCTAATAGTTATCAAGAAGGTAAACCTTGTTCTAGTTTGCTATTAAAATCTTACTCATTAAATAAAAGTAAGAAAAAGTGAAATTCCTTAAGTTTCTTCATTCTCAATGTCAACTTTCTGTTGTAACTAAACTTCCAGCAACCAAGCTGTAAATAGTTGCTTAGAGATATTAAAGTAAGGAAATATTTCATTTTGGGAATCGAAATGAACAAAGGGTAAAAGAAATGAAAATTTGGTTCTAAAAAACTGTTATCAACCAAGCTTGAGCTTCTGAGGCAGGAAGGTCCCTTAAGGCAAGAATTTGAGAGCTGCCTGGGCAACATAGCAAAAATCTATTCTCTACCAAAACAACAACAACAAAAAACCAACTGAATCATCTCTTCCTCTCTTCCTCTCCCACCAAAAAATAACTTTATGGGGAAGAGAAGCTATTTTTCTTCAAACTTGTCTTTAAAACATGATATTTTATACTTGTTAATACTGCAAAAAAAAAAAAAAAATCAGACTCCAACTCAAAAAACAAAAAACAAACAAAAAAACCTTAGAAAGTCCCTATTAACATGTTTGTGGCTTATCAATCAAATCACTATCTCAAATTGTAGTATGGATTATTTTTCTATCAGTTTAGTTCAGCAAAAATAAATATCCTTGATATCCTAATATATTCTAGTTTGTAGATTTTTTTTAGATTAGCAATTCCTTATTTGTTAGTCTGTAATTTATTCCTCTTTAGAAGGAAGAAAATTTTAACCCATCTGCTATTGGCATTTGTATACATTCATGTCCATAGAGATTTTGGTGAAATGGTACATTTATGGTAAATACAAATGAATTTTCCAGTTTTTCAATTTCTGCTTTAGGTATAAGCAAAAATTAATTTTACTTTTGACTAGAAAATATTTGAACTAAATTATTTAAGTTAATCTCTATAACATTTCTGTCTAGCGGAATGTACTGGTTTGAAAGGCATTATAGTTTCCCATTGCCAAGGGAAAAGATGGAATTTATTCAAGATAATGCCAGATAATTTCACAGTTTTTAAAAATTTCTTTTCAGTGCCCTATTTACTCCAGAGTAATTAAAGGGAGGTAGGTAAAGATAATGCAAATAAAACCAAAATGTTGAATATCAATCACTTTATACTTCTTGGAAGAAAGATAATCTATAAATTCAAGAGATCTGAATCACAGACTAGCAACCTTTTGGAATTTGACCCTGTACTATAGTACTCATGTGTTAAATTTTCCGAGTTAAAAAAAAAAAAAATCCACAGGGTAATGTATAGTCCATATCATAGTGGAGATCGTAAATTTCCTTGTTTAGTTTTTCCATACTTACGACGGCCTTTATATATGAAAATGTTCATTGGGAGAAAAATTATACTTAAGACTAAATCTTTAGAGTAGTTCTCTATTATTGGCAATGAAGGGGCAACTAATAAATGTAGACTATGTAGTGTTGTATGGTTCTTTGATTAGGCATAAAAAGTATTGTAAACAACTTTTTTATTCCTTCGAAATACGGATTAAAAAAAGTCTGAAGTTAGCCTGCAGCATTTTCCAGTAGGACAAGTCAGTATAAATTAGGTAGTTTTTTGCCTGTTTTATACTTTTTGTTGTATTTTGGTCAAATGAATATGTTTTTAAAAATATTATTATTGAGTTTTTACTTCTTAGATGATTGGTTTGAGTGTGGAACTCTTTTTATAACACTTTGATATACAAGTTAGTGTAAATTAATACTTTTTATAACACTACTAGGCTTTATTTTTTTA